GTTTGTTGAAATTGCTGATAGAGACTAAGACTTTTAGTAATGATCCGAGCAATAAAAGTTGTAATATCGATATATGTAAAATAGACGATAATGCAATGAAAGAGAATGTGAAAGGAAATGTGACTGTTAATAAAAGTGAAAAGAGAGGAATGTTTAAAGTAAAACATGATGAATACATACCTATGAGCAGTAATAAAACAGCCCTAGACTACGATAATTCCTCTGAAAATATTAGTAATAACAAAAGTAAAGTATTATACTATCATTAAAGAGTCGTTGATAATGGCGAAACCAATAGAACTGATGTTGATAAATCCAAAGATCAGAAGTCTGCTACTTCTGAAAGTGAGACGGATATGCTTCGATAGTTTTTGGATGTGAACATCAGTCATGCTGATAAAACATCTAGTAAAGGCTATTACTATTATGATGAAAGTAGTGTTAAAAAAATGAAGAAGGGACATTTAAATAGTATTCAGATTTTGCTGAAAGTGGAAGTCCAAATAGGAGACCTGATGTTAGATTATATCACAAAAAAGATATAAGCATTTCTAAAGATAAAAGGAAGGCATTTAATTAGTACTTAGAGTCTGCTAAGACAGATCACATTAATGGAATGTATGTTCTTGAATCCTGCCATCATGATGGCAAAGATACAGTCAAGGATAAAAAGATAGCATGTAAATAGTACTTGAAAAGTACTAAAGGTGATAGTTTGAGTAGACAATGTAGTCTTGGATATGATGGCCGATTTAAAGATAACGATGAATGAACAGGCAAGAAATTTGTCGAAAATGAACCAAATGATGATTCTAAAAAGGTAATATTGAAAAGTGCTGATGTAAGTGAAGATCAAGGTGGAGGCAAGAATGTTGATGAAACTACTGATGGAATGCTCTGTGATAAAAGCATTGAGGGTGGATTGTATGCGAATTCTGAGATAACAGTACATGATGGAGTAAACAAAAGGACAAGTAGAAATGAAATGAAATGCTATTTATGGGTAAATGTGGCATAGACTGAGGCCGATATTGGGGCATAGAGAATAAGGTCATGATGTATTATAGTAAAATGAATTGAATACAGAGATTGCTCGAAGTAGGTAACGGTAGAAAAATCGAATTTTTTAAGCGATTGTATCTTGATTACATGATTGGTTGCAATGGATTAGAAATGAGATATTTGGAAACTGTCTCAATATGCGTAAGCTTGGAAGAATAGATATACATATGTTGCGTGCTTAAGTGTACTTGTAACAATGGACATTGGTAATGAAGCATAGTGCTCAAAAAAAAAAGTGTTTATGTATTAAGTGAACAATGTATTAGTAAATTTAAGTAGTATTAGAATGGATAGTAATATTGAATATTGCGAATAGGACAATTTGTATTGGAAAAATTGTTTTTGCATGGGTTGAAACTTCAGGGACGAAGTTTTGGAAGTTCTAGCTCGTATCACGGGTTAATTCAGTACCCTGTGATTTTGTGGTGCCAGGTTTGATTAGAATCGGAATTTGTATGAGTGGCATGATGCGGATTTATATTAAATTAATTAAAAGTCTAATATAGTGATAGTCTAATATGTATAACCCAGATAATAATATATCTGGAGATAATCTTGTAATAGATAAATAGCAATCTCTAATAGTAATAAAGAGAATTAAGTTTCACTTTGAAAATATATTCCAATTGAATATACTGTGTGGTGGTCATTGTAGTAGCCAAGGTGACGAAGTAAAGAGATAGAAGTACTTGGTACATTACCCTAGTCTGTATATATAGCCAAGCAAATAGAATTGGCATTGAAAAGGAACAAAGACTCTATTATACCGGAATCATCTATGACACTGGCTTATATCTCAATCTACTGATATCAATACAGGCAGGACCAATAGCAATAATGAAAACTCTGATGATCCTGCTGACTCTCCCAATAATGATAATTCTAATGATTCTGATGAAGAATACGAATCTATTGCTAAGCCTAGTAATTTCCTAAATAAAGCATATCATATGCAGTCTCGCTCAAAAAGTGTTCTAACTAGAACTAGTTTATCCACAGTTATAGCATTGTTTCTCATCTTTCTAATAGTTATTTCATTGACAAACCATTATCTAACATTATATAGTAGTTAGAGTTAGCATTTTTGTTAGCTATGAGTACATATATTATTAGTAAATTATCAATTTGTAATGTCAGATAAATGGCCTGTTAATATAATGACTATTAGAAAATTAG